CTTTTCTCTGTCCAGTCCGCACCTGCGGGTTTACACTGACAGAACGCAAAGCGTGATTGTGATATAGTTACAATATCCCAAAAGTCTCCAAAGATTCTTTATTTCAGAGAAATTCCGATTTTAAATAAGTGGCCGACCCGGAAAAAAATGTCGCCTGTCAATGACGCAATATCCGCGCTATCCTCGGTTTCCGCTCATACTGCCATAGCCATGACGTAACCATGGCGACAGACGTGGACAACTGCATAGTGTGTAACGTTTAGCGGCACGCAGTTCTTGTTTCTTTCAAACATAGACCATGGCAAGCAGACTTTGGGACAAACAAGGAGAACTAAAATGAGGATCAATATCAGCATGGCGTTTTTGAGATGCCGAGAGCTCCACGTCCGCGACTAACTTGGACTTGACAGAGTTTCACGAGTCACGACTTGATAGCTTTATTAGACAGGTGAGCAAATGTACATAAAACAAATCAATGTTACATAACCTTAGCTCAACATGATGACATTTTAGAATATGGTCAGTATGTTATTCTAATGTTGATCTAGCTTACTGCTAGTTTCGTATAGCAAATGAACTAACACATAGTATAACATTATAACTTTCAACACACATTTAAATGCCGTTTGGTGTGATAGTGTAACGTTAGACCAAGTGAAGCAGCGCTGCGTTACCTCACAAGTTTAATTCGTCTAATAAACTGACCTGTGTGAGTAATCCAGCACTTGCGGGTAGTTCGGTAGAATTAAATGTCCTTATTCCTTTATATCCGCGGGACTCGCGTGTGATATCTGTCTCTTTAGCAATCGCAACCTGCTTCATACCACTGAAATGTTAAAAAACATGAATATTTGCACTCATCCATAAACATTATTAGATCCATCAGCTTGACAGCAAGTCCCATCATTCAGCTCATCACTGCGTCATCAACCTACGCCTTTGTTATTGTTGGAAACTGTGCCCTCTTGTGGCGAAAAAATCTTACATATTGTGCCTTTAAGTGACTTTGATATTTTTGTGAGTGGCAAACACAAAGACAATAGAGAGTGAATAAGAAAAAAATAAACAGGACGGAAGCAATAGAAAGTGCAATAAATGTTTATTGAACAGTCGTTCACACAGGGAACCTCAGAACAGGCAGAATGCAAACTCGAAGAACACAGAGCAGGCAGATGATCTCTCCACGACGTGGGTCAGACCAGGAATGCAGACAGCAGGAGAGCATGACGCAGGGACTGAGACGGGCAATCCTGAAGTGAGTGAAGTTGAGAAGATGAACCAGCGGTGAGAACGGGAGTGAAGCGATCCGGTATCCAGAGAAACAGGAAACACAAGGAATACTAGAAACAGGCACGAACACGGGAAGCTTCAACAACGATCTGACAAACACAGGACGAAAGACAGGGCATTAAATGGCTAGGCTGATGGTTTGCAGCTGCCGCTGATGATGATAATCAGCAGTATTGCCCACACAAAACAATCAGTGCACACGAGACACATCCCCACAAGACCAGAATGAGACAGCGGATCTACCAACCGTGACAGAATATAATGGTTTAATAAACAAAACTACGGTAGGCTACACACACAACTAAACTAAGCAAATATTGTATACAGAATCAAGAAAGTGAAGAAATAGAGAGAGAAGAAAAGAGAATGGCAAGATTAAAATCAGTTGTCCACAACCTACGAGAAACATCAGAGAATCAGGGTCACCTTAAAGGGGCACAATAACTTAGAAACGCATATAAAGGCTGCAAACAGGTACTTGCATTGGTTTTGGTTGCTGGACAAGTCCAGATGCAGGAGATTCTTGAGATGCTTGATGATTTTGCAAGGAGTGCGCTGATGCGTTCGTTTGGGTTCTTGGGGTGGTCCACGTTGAATCCAAAGAAGTTAACTTGAAGATGAAGTTGCCGGAACAAGACAGGAGGATGTTGTCTCAAAGAGAATGAGCAAAGGATCTGACCTAATCAGATACTTTTAAGGGTCATATCAGTCCACACGCATTTGGTGAGGTGACCAATCTAAGATGACCTGGAGAAAGTCTTTGTTCCACCTTCTCGCCATTTGCATGTTCATGGTGGCATGGAGAATTTGTGGAGTCTTTACACAAAAGTGTGTTAAAAATATCCTGATGCAATTTATTATCACATATTGTACACCATTGATTATAAAATCAAAAGAGGATTATTTTGATTATCAAAAGTCCATGAACACCATCGCAACAATAACACATCTCCCGTCCACTTCAGCAGCAAGGTAAGATACAGTATGGAAGCACATCACACCTCCGTGAGAGGAATTCTAGTTCTGTTCCGCCCCAGGTATTAGGCCTGTCCTGTCTGATTGCAGTGGAACTAGCAGAGTAAGCGCACTCATTCATCATCGACCTGTGACAAATGGAGGAACCAGCTTTCTCTGACAGCCTGCAGAGTAGCGGCCAGACACTTCCTCTGTCCTCAGGTTATTCACAGGCGTCACAAGCACTAAACACGGCTGCAGTGGAAAAGTAATGGGCTACTCCATTTGAAAGCTATTTTCAGGTTGCTATGAGCTAAACGATGTGAGCCATCCTGAAGGACATTTCTCGGCCTGTGATAAATACAAATGGCAGAGACAGAGAAAAACCTCTTGAACACAAGATTGCTGTGTTAAATTAATAGTAGCTTTTTTAATTTATTTGTAATGTATATTAAATTACAATTTTACTTTGAAAGGTTAGTTCACTTAAAAATCAAAATTTTGTCATTGTGTTCAAACCCATCAGACTTTCATTCATCTTCTGAACACAAATTGTCAATATTTTCGAGCTTCAAAAAGTCTGTAAAGACATCATAAAGTAATCCATATGAATTGAGTAGTTTAATCCAAGTCTCCTGATATGAAGAACTGATTTAATATAGGCTTTTTTCATATATAAACATTGATTGACATACAATTTGTTCTAAAGATGAATGAAAGTTTTGTTATTTTGACATGAGGGAGAGTACCCTGCTAGAAATTTTACATTCACAGATCGTCCCCGCTGGTGTCAAGTACGTCTCCTAGTAATATTCTCAGAACGTTCTGAGACGGTCATAATGTGAAGTCCTTTAAAGGGTTGAAGGACGTTATTTGGCGGACCTTCACGGCCCTTACAGAAAAAACACATGAATTTCACATGTTATCACATGTTTTCCACATGTGCCCACATGTGACCACATGTGCCCACATGTGACCACATATGAACAACATGTCATCACATGTGAACAATGTTCGACCACATGTGAACAACATGTCACCACATGTGAACTTAATGGAACACGTGGCACATGTGGAAAACATGTTATAGTTAATGATGTGGAGCTCATGTGAAATATATTTGCACGTTGTAATAGGTTTTAACATGTGAATTATGTTACCACGTCACAAATATTGTACATTTTTAGCTTCAATAGCCTTATTCACACAAAATGCATAGAACATAAAGCTTATAATGCATGTGTAGGCCCACATTTGCCTACTAATGTGAAAATATATTCATGAAAATATTTTAATGATAATGAAGCGTATAGTTTTTAATCAAGTGAGTTTTTGCAATACTTTTTTCAACACTGTTTACCATTGCTAAAGCTATATTATAAATATATTTTACATAATCAACAGTATAATATTATATTTGATATAATCAATAGGCTACTGCTTTCATATTCTATTTACAAAGCACTTTCAGGACATCTTTATATATATATATATATATAGCCTATATATATATGTGTGTGTGTGTGTGTGTGTGTGTGTGTGTGTGTGTACCATGCATTGAAAGATAATCTGAAAGCACTATAAAGACTGGCTTTATATATAGGCTATTTATATTAAAAATAAAATCAAAAGCAAAGTGATGGTATACAAAATATTTTCAAATAAAATAAAGTGTATATTAAACTTTTCATTTTAAGTGCTGCATGATTTTGACGTGGTTTAATCAATGCCGTGCGCGTGAACTTTCGAGTATTTCAAACCATAGACATCATATGATATCTATGTTTCAAACACTGGAGCGGCCGGCGCGCAGAGTTGCCATGGAAACGGCGCGGGACCACTGCTACTGGTAAGCAACAAAACTCCCTCTCTCGATGTTGTTTCAACTTTTCACGGCTTTTTCCAGGTGAGATTAGTCTCTAAAATCACACGAATAATACTCACAACTGTTTTTGACATTTCTCTTACTTGTAATTGACACAATTCTGTTAAAAATTTACTTTATAGACATGGTGTAGTGTCTTCGGAAAAAGTCCGTTAGGATCTCAACCGTTTTCAGAAGAGGTAGCAGCTAACGTTAGCTAGGCTAACGTATCGTTAACTCGGTTGAACTTTTATTTATTAAAGTTTGGGCTTTTAATCACCTCTTATGTGTAGATGAGAGGTTTTGTAAAGGTTTTACTTGGAAGTGAGCTAATTTATTTAACACAAACGTAAACATAACGTATCGGTGATGTTACTTTCAGGAGCAAGAAAATAGGCTGAAACTAACGTTAGCTCAATGGTAACGTTAAACACATTTTGATTAAAAAAATTTCTGTGATTTCAGTAGTAACAAAATAACCCATAACAGAGAGAAAGCGCCTCCACGACTTCAACATTTCTGAAGAAAGCTGCTGCCGGAAAAGTAACTTAACGTTAACGTTACACAGGTGAGCCGAGGAAGCTCATTAAATAACCTCATTTTATTTCTCAATTTTAAAAAAAAATTGTTTATTTTAAGAAGGTTTTGACATCCAAACGAAGTTACACCGTATGAGCAAAATTAAATGAATAAGTAAACCCAAAAACAAATTCTGTTATCCTAGTTAAGAAATTATATTCTGTATATTCTTTAAATTCTTTCTCTTTTCTGCATTTCACCTCTGCTGTAGCTTCTTTCCTTTTAATAAACCTGGCATTGCATTGTTGGCTCAGTGACAAATGGCTTGTTGTGTTCTTAGATCCTTCAGTACTGATGCCCTTCAACATAGCGGAGTGGAGCTGATCTTCATCTCTAAAGCACTATTGATGAACCATATGATTAGTAAGTAAAACGCCAAACATACACTAATGTCAAACATACACTAATTGTCTTGGTACAAATGTTTATGTCTCTTTCTCTTATGTTCACCAAAAAACATTAAAAACAATAATATTGTGAAATAATATAAATAAATAAAAACTGTTTTCTATGTGAATATATTGTAAAATGCAATTATTTCCTGTGATCAAAGCTGAATTTTCAGCATCACAGCTTCACATCATCCTTCATAAATTATTCTAATTTGACGATTTGATGCTCAAAAAATATTTATGATTATTATCTGTGTTGAAAACAGTTGTGCTGCTTCATATTTTTGTGTTTTTCAGGATTATTTGATGAATAGAAAGGTTAAAATAACAGCATTTATTTGAAACAGAAATCCTTACTCTCTCTTTTGGTCAATTTAATGCATCCTTGCTGAGTAAAAATATGAATTTCTTCTTTTTTTTTTTTATTCTTTTTTAAATCTATCATTGACCCCAAATGTTTGAACATTAGTGTAAACTACCCTTCATATGTTTGTGGTCTATTTAACAATGAATCCTGGAGGGGAAAAAATGGTTTAAACTGTTACAATGGTTTACACAAACACATTAATCAGCACAACTGTTTTCAACATTGATAATAATCAGAAATGTTTTGGATGTTTACATGGTAAGAATGTATAGTATTCAAATATAAAAAACACTGACTCGTTAGGTCATGTTTACTCATTAAAGTCAGATGATTTCCTATTAATTCAATAGAATATGGTGACTTCAATTTACATGACGTCATGAGCAATCAAGTCATTTATATAGATCGGTGAGTAGTGCCCAGCATATCTAAGTCCACTAAAGGAGATTTCTCGCATTTTACCCCTAAACTCTGGAATAACTATGAAGGTAAAAGAGTAACAAGACTCGAGCATGAACAATAAATACTTGTATGCTAAAATTTACACTCACAGCTCCAAAGTGAAAACCTCACCTAATACGCAATAACGTTGAAAAGATCACGGTTTCTGTCCTGACGAAAATGTTCTATTTTTTATTTTATTTTTTGCTTTGCAGAACAAGTCTGTGACTGACTTAATGAACCCAGTTGCTTTGGATCATGCTCAAAGATGTAAGGGTTACAAAAAGTTAACCAGAACTCTTATGGACTCCATCTTCTCTTTCGAAGAGATGGCAGCATGGACGGAAAAAAAGGGGTTGTTGGTGAAAAAAGAGCCTTGACCTACAAAAGGTGCAGCTAATAATTGGTAAGCATGTCTGAATATCTTTTATCAATAGTTATTATATATGACAAGCGCTGAGCGCGTCCATCAGCGCCAGCCATAGCGCGGAAAGCACAGTTTGGATCTGGCAGTTATGTCACGTCATGTCAAACTTGTTTTCAAATTTTAATGTAATCAATCTCATTTCTTACAGACCATGTCAAAAAGAGGCACCCAGGCATCGGAGGCACTGAGATCAAGGTCTGCATGGCACAAAAGTTAAAAGATCTGAGGAGACGAGCAGAAAGGTAATATTCAGACGATCCAACATCCAAGTGTGATCCCCATGTGGTCTGTTCACATTTGCGAAACCGACATGCGCGAGGACTGATGACTCAGTTTATTCCTCAGTCTACATTGTGATCTATTCACAAACTGTCAATAGTTTTTTTTATAAATGAGACGCACCACTCGTCTTATACAGTTGTTTAAGCAAGATGTATTTCCATAGCATATTTACGTAAAACGTTTAATGACATAATAACATTACAAATGAATAATAATTAATTATTAAGCCCCATCCACTTTAGGCTTCAAAAATGCTTTTCAGAAACCTATGGGGTGACGTCACGGACACTACGTCCATATTTTTTTTTACAGTCTATGGTTTGCACTGCCCTAATCTTTGATCTTTTTCTATCCCAAAACAGGATGCCTGCTGCAGGAGACACAAAGGACTGAGACAACACACTTTCACAAACGCACACCACACACACACACATGCGCGTATACCTGCGTTTTTTGCGGCTTTTTATGTATAATTTTAATTTGGTTTTGCTTTGTTTGTTTTAAACATTCAATTTGTATTGCATATTTTGAAATGAAATAAAAAGTGAAAAAAATAAAATAAAATTTGAATTATTTGTTTTAATGTTGGGAAACATTAGGCTATAGAGCCTACACAAGAACATGGTAGGCCTACCGTTTTCTGTGGTATATTGCTTAATGATTTTTACATGGATTTCACATGAAGTTACAGGTTTACATGGTGTGTAGCTTTAAGATGGATTGTTGATGGGTTTCAAATGTCATTCCATGGGTTTCACATGAGATATTTTACATTTCACATGATATCTCATGGGTTTCACATGTGATTAAATGTTTCACATGGGAATTTTACGTTTCACATGTAAGCTCATGGATTTCACATGGGAATTTTACATTTCACATGCAATCCCATGGGTTTCACATGTAATCACATGGGTTTCACATGCAATCACATGGGTTTCACATGCAATCCCATGGGTTTCACATGTAATCACATGGGTTTCACATGTAATCACATGGGTTTCACATGCAATCACATGGGTTTCACATGCAATCACATGGGTTTCACATGCAATCCCATGGGTTTCACTTGTAATCACATGGGTTTCACATGTAATCACATGGGTTTCACATGCAATCCCATGGGTTTCACATGTAATCCCATGGGTTTCACATGTAATCACATGGGTTTCACATGTAATCACATGGGTTTCACATGCAATCACATGGGTTTCACATGCAATCCCATGGGTTTCACATGTAATCACATGGGTTTCACATGTAATCACATGGGTTTCACATGTAATCACATGGGTTTCACATGTAATCACATGGGTTTCACATGCAATCACATGGGTTTCACATGCAATCACATGGGTTTCACATGCAATCACATGGGTTTCACATGCAATCCCATGGGTTTCACATGTAATCACATGGGTTTCACATGTAATCACATGGGTTTCACATGCAATCCCATGGGTTTCACATGTAATCACATGGGTTTCACATGTAATCACATGGGTTTCACATCCCATGGGTTTCACATGTAATCACATGGGTTTCACATGTAATCACATGGGTTTCACATCCCATAGGTTTCACATGTAATCACATGGGTTTCACATGCAATCCCATGGGTTTCACATGGGAATATACATGGGTTTCACATGAAAATGTTCCAAAACCACACGTTTCCCATGTGCAAATTACCTTTAACATGTGCAAAGCACATGTGTTCCACATATTTCACATGTTAAATTTCACATGTGCAAAATCACATGTCCACGTTGTCACATGGGATCACATGTGTTTTTGCACATGTGAAACTCATGTGGTTTTTCTGTAAGGGGGAACATTCAGAATGTTCTCTGAACGTGTAGAGGACGATATTTTATTTAGAAATTTTATGTTCTCAGAACGTACCCACTGGTGTCAAACGACATCGCCTTAAAACAAACACAGTCCAGGGTAAACAAAACAGTCCATGGGGGAGTGGAGGGTGGGAGGAGCCAGGGGGAAGCCAGGAGCAGGAGTCGTCTGGTGGATATCCAGAGTCCAGCCAGGATGATGCCCCACGGCGGAGTCGAGCGAGGGAGGAGTCATGATATAAATCACCTCGACGAGGCCATGGGGATGACGGATTGAGACTGAGCCGGTGGAAAATGAGCCCAGAGTGCAGACAGAAAGCCGATGGACAGGCACGACACTACAGGCTTCGATGGCTGCGACGATCCTCCGAGGTGGTAACAGAGGCCTGAGGTGGAGCCGGAGCAACTGAGGGCCAAGGCAGAGCCATTAGGAGCTGTAGGGCAGAGCCATTAGGAGCCGTAGGGGTGGAGAAATGACGCACAGTAGACGGATCGCAAATCTGTGGCGTAGGCGTGACGACATCCAACCGAGGTGGAGCCGGAGGGTCGAGGGAGCCCGGAGCAGCCAAATGTCCAATGGTCCCAGGTGGATCCGAGGGGGGGAGGAGCCAGGGCGGAGGAGTCTGGACGACGGGCTGAGGAGATGTGACTGGATCAGTGGTGGGAGGCGGAGGCAAGGGATCAGTGCATCCAGACCATAGAGGGCTGTTGAAGGACAAACCGAGGAGCTGATGGGAGACATACTGGGCAGAGGAACTGGATGAAGTCTGAAGAGCAGGCGGTAGAGGGAGGCTGGGAGGGCACACTGGAAGCACTGAAGAGACGTAGTTGGGCGGAACCAACATAGAAACAGTAGAACTTTTACTGGATGGAACCAGTGGAGACACAGGAGAACTTTTTCTGGATGAAACCAGCAGAGACACAGGGGAACTATAGCTGAGTGGGATCACAAGGGGCTCTTCAAAATAGTCTTTAAAAAATAAATGGTTCAGAGCTTGCTCACCCTCTGTGGTGGGAGTGTGGGCGGGGCTCCAATCCATCCCATCGAACTCTACGAGGACTCCCATGATGGCACACGGTGTTGCTGCTCACACATACATGCTCACTCATACGCATACTTGTTACAATTACATTGTCCAGTTTTCTCCCTGAATGATGATATGGCAATTCTCGATGCAGCACGAATGACCTACAATGGCGAAATGTTTCACAATCACGACAGAAAATCGAAATAGTATCCTAAACTCACTGGCAGAAAGGCAGCGCGATATAAACAAATCAGACCCAGAACTCAACACGGCATGACGGCAACTTCGCATTCTTTATATCTACCGGTTCGATGGCAGAGTAACGTTTTTCCAAGGAAGACGAAGATGAATTCAAAATAAAACAAGATTTATTAAATAACTAGTATAGTAATAGTAATGCAAACAACGATCCAACAATACGAAACTTAAATACACAAATGGTGATGAATAATTACAAACAGCTGTGCTCTTTAAATTAATTACCATGACAACAGATATATAGGCAGGAAACTGAACAAAAGAACACATGTGACTGAAAATAACAAACTAAAAGTCCATTATAATGAAACAGACAGAACATGCACTCACCTAAAGGATTATTAGGAACACCTGTTCAATTTCTCATTAATGCAATTATCTAATCAACCAATCACATGGCAGTTGCTTCAATGCATTTAGGGGTGTGGTCCTGGTCAAGACAATCTCCTGAACTCCAAACTGAAAAATGTCAGAATGGGAAAGAAAGGTGATTTAAGCAATTTTGAGCGTGGCATGGTTATTGGTGCCAGACTGGCCGGTCTGAGTATTTCACAATATGCTCAGTTACTGGGATTTTTACGCACAACCATTTCTAGGGTTTACAAAGAATGGTGTGAAAAGGGAAAAACATCCAGTATGCGGCAGTCCTGTGGACGAAAATGCCTTGTTGATGCTAGAGGAGAATGGGCCGACTGATTCAAGCTGATAGAAGAGCAACTTTGACTGAAATAACCACTCGTTACAACCGAGGTATGCAGCAAAGCATTTGTGAAGCCACAACACGCACAACCTTGAGGCGGATGGGCTACAACAGCAGAAGACCCCACCGGGTACCACTCATCTCCACTACAAATAGGAAAAAGAGGCTACAATTTGCAAGAGCTCACCAAAATTGGACAGTTGAAGACTGGAAAAATGTTGCCTGGTCTGATGAGTCTCGATTTCTGTTGAGACATTCAGATGGTAGAGTCAGAATTTGGCGTAAACAGAATGAGAACATGGATCCATCATGCCTTGTTACCACTGTGCAGGCTGGTGGTGGTGGTGTAGTGGTGTGGCGGATGTTTTCTTGGCACACTTTAGGCCCCTTAGTGCCAATTGGGCATCGCTTAAATGCCACGGCCTACCTGAGCATTGTTTCTGACCATGTCCATCCCTTTATGGCCACCATGTACCCATCCTCTGATGGCTACTTCCAGCAGGAATTGGTTTCTTGAACATGACAATGAGTTCACTGTACAAAAATGGCCACCACAGTCACCAGATCTCAACCCAATAGAGCATCTTTGGGAGGTGGTGGAACGGGAGCTTCGTGCCCTGGATGTGCATCCCACAAATCTCCATCAACTGCAAGATGCTATCCTATCAATATGGGCCTACATTTCTAAAGAATGCTTTCAGCACCTTGTTGAATCAATGCCACCTGGAATTAAGGCAGTTCTGAAGACGAAAGGGGGTCAAACACAGTATTAGTATGGTGTTCCTAATAATCCTTTAGGTGAGTGTAAATGTGACATAACGCCCCAAAAAAGAGATGAGGGAGGGATAGTGGGGGCTTTGGAGGTGGGCGAGGAGAAGGCGAAGGGCTGGTGAAAGAGGCAGGCAGAGGGCTGGCAAAAGCAGGCAGACGATGAAGACCAGGGAGGGGCAGATGGTGGTAGCGGCCATGTTGCTGATGACAGGAGAAGTGGCCAGATGGTGCAGACCTAGAGCGCAGCCTGAATGAAAGCCCACGGCGCAGTCGATGGACGGAGGAGCCAAGATGTGGCCGACAACATCTGCGGGATGACCGACAGAGACAGAGCTGATCTTAGGGGATCCCAGGGGGCAGATGGAGAGCTGATGGGCTTGAGTGACACCAATGGATCTGGAGACCAAGGCGCGGGTGCGGCGACAAGCACTCGAGGTGAAGCCTGAGTGCCCGAGGACTTAGGTGGAGCCGGTGCACTCGAGGACAAAGGTGGATCCGGTGAGAGGGCGGAACCCGCTGGAGCTGAAGGGGTGGAGAGATGGAGCGCCTCGGATGGCTCGCAAGTCCGCTGAGCAGGCAGGGTGACGGTTGACCAAGGTGGAGCCGGAGGGACAAGAGAGCCTGGTCGAGCAGCAAGGCCGAGGGTCTCTGGTGGAGCCCAGGGTTGGAGGAGTCAAGGCGGCGCTGACAGGTTGACGGGCTGAAGCTGGAGCGAAGGGATCAGTGGCCGGATAACCGTGACCGTGCGAGAGATCATCTCGCTTAGGCGAGGCTGATGACTGAAACTCATGCGGCTCCTCCAAGCCGCAAGGCATCAGAGGGGTAGACGAAGGGCTGCAGGGCACCA